CCAATTCTGAATTATTGCTGCCTTCAAAAGAATGCTACTAGGGTAAAGTGATGGGAATGTTAGGGTTAATGAATTTTAGCATTATGATGGATTCCGATTAGAGGGAATGTAGGATTATGATTGAAGTGGTTAGGGGGACTTAAGGATAGGAAGGGGCTTTATTCCAGCTGATGGGGGCTATAACTTCCATAATACTCAGCCTAGCTTTTTACCTAAGAGCCCAGCCTCTTACCTCCACCTCCCTGCTCTTGAATATTTTAATATTTTTCTTACAATTTGTGCAGGAGATGTAAAACAGACAATTTTGACCCAGTATATTAACTCAAAAATATGACTCTAATCTTGAGCCACCACTGGCGAAACATATGTCAGGGGCTCTAACTATAGTTCCAAAGCTGGTGTAGCGTTAATGATTATCAGACCAGCTATCCAGTCTGTTCTTAAATCTGATAGATTGGAAAGTTGATTTTCTGGTATTATAATTCAGATTTTTCACGTTTCTCCCGATTCAGGTAGTTTCTCTCCACAGCTGCAAAGTATTTTCTAAGACTACTGCCCACTTATTATTTGAGGATGGGTATAGACTGGGGTGCCCTCAAAGGCACAAGAGAGCAGTAAAGTTTTTTAGCCCTTCCCTCGTATAGGTGTAGCACCACATTGGTTTTGTTTACCTAGATCGTTGGTTTACAGCTGTCAGTGTTAAGCCAGACTGTGAGCTCCAGTCTGCACCGTGTATACTGCCCTGTTGATACTCTTTCTAATTAAAAAAAAAGTGAAACTTTCCTTCACCTTATCGCTGCTCTGTTTCTTTTTATTGCTACTTTGTTTACTATCCTATTATACCGGCAGTGTATATCACATTGTACCACCATCAAGGAGATTTTTTTATATTATGTTATTGGTTCTGCATGTACATAATTTTTTTTTTTTTGCTTTTATATATTTATTTAGTTTTTATCTTTACTAATAAAAGTTAAGTTTTATTTTACTCTTGTGATGTATTTAGCAAATATTTAGGTCCTAGTAGTCTTTCTGAGGTTGATATCTTTAACCATACACTCCTTTTTCACATCCCTCATTGTTCTTTCCTTTTAGTTAGTTCACTATTTAGGGGTTATGCCCCATTTTATGGGTGTTGATATACTTGGCTCCAATCCCTTTGAATTGTAGGGCACACATTAACAATTATGCATTGCAAACTGAAATAAATTAACCATCAACAAGTAAGTAGAATACAAAGATTGTATGGAATTACTTATAAACATAGCCATCAAAACCTGATATAAATACTTTGTAGAACACATAAATGACCTTCTAGTCATGAGCTGAATGCGTGTGGCAGTCATATTAATGGCAATTGTCATAGGGGTACATGCAATCATTTTAAAGTACCCTTTGTTTCAAGCAAAAATGCACATGTTTCATAGTTACATAGTAATAATACTTGATAATGACATACTTGAAAATATCAATGTATCCATCCTGGTAAAATATTTTAGAAATAAATAAATAATCAAGGCCAAAAAAAGGCTCAAGTCCATTAGTTTATTACTTTAGCCAATATGCTTTCTATGTACATAATGCTAAAACAGACTTTATTTGCACTGTTGAAAAAGCATACACAAAAGTCAAACAGTTATCACTAATATGGTCACTTAGATAGCAGTCTATTCGATGAACCAGTCAGTGGAGGCTGATCCATAACGTCTGGTTGAGTAGTGCCCCCTTTCGGTTTTCTTTTGCAAACAAAAGAAAAAAAAATCAAATCTATTGGCACTTTAAGGACTAATGATAAGGATGTGTAAGGAAAAAAAACAACAACAAACATTTTTAGTGGAGTTGGACCTAAGAGTTTAAAGAGAAACTGATAAACTGCTATAATTACCTTGCAGAGGTATTCAATCAGACAGCAACTAAAGGCCCTTCTTGGTGGTTAGGTGACTTTTGGTTGCCTAACTGACACTAGACGTTCTCATGGTCCGCATTAGAACATCCAGCCTCAGTCAATACCCCATAAGAAAGCATTGCCATAATGCTTTCCACTGGGGAGGGCCTAATAAGCTCACAGAGTTTGCCACGCATGTGCATCAGCACCCAGCCGTTGCGTGATGTCAGAGGGGACGGAGTAAGTACAGAAAGGGTTTATTAAAGGATCACTATAGGGTCAGGAACACAAACATCTATTCCTGACCCTATAGTGTTAACACCACCATCTAGCCCCCCTGGTCCCCTCATGTCTCCATAAATATTGCAATCCAGAAGCTGTAACTCTGCATGCTGTTTGCCTCAAAAAAAAAAACAAGCAGTCTGCTGACATCATCAGAAGTGGTGGCCTGATCCAATCACAGTGCTTCCCCATAGGATTGGCTGAGAGGAGACAGATTAGCGGCAGAGCCAGCATGATTCAAACATAGCGCTGGCCAATCAGCATCTCCTCATAGAGATGAATTGAATCAATGAATCTCTATGAGGAAAGTTCAGCGTCTGCATGCAGAGGGAGAAGACACTGAATATTTGGATGCATTTTAGGCAGCCATGACCCAGGAAGGCTCTAACAGCTATCTGAGGAGTGGCCAGTGAAGGTATCACTAGGCTGTAATGTAAACACTGCATTTTCTCTGAAAAGACAATATTTACAGCAAAAAGCCTGAAGGCAATGATTCTACTCACCAGAACAAATTCAATAAACTGTAGTTGTTCTGGTGACTATAGCGTCCCTTTAACCCTTATTATGCCAGGGGATTGGCACGAGGGAGCTATAGTTCTAGGAATACAACTTTGCTTTCCTAGCACTATAGTATCCCTTTGAGAATTGTTGTTTCTAATTGTTGTTTTTCTATAGGTTCATGGTTTTGAACAAGTCAGGCTGTCTCATTCGGTTAGGGTTTGGTTTGAGTACATAGGGTTAACATAGATGAATTTAAATGCACAGAACTACAATTCAGGAGATGGGCAGATCCCCACAATCTATAAATTTCACAGCTGCCACGGCAACAGGTACTTTAGCAAATAATTAATCTAAAATATTCACTCACTGAGTGTTGTGGTTTCACTCCAACGGGTATGTGTGAATCCTGCTGTTATTCCTGGGTTAATACAGTCCCCATAGTACTTGCAATGGTAATAAACAATCCACTGCTACTGCTGCTACATTAATAATATACTGTTTATACATGTTGAGTATATTTTGCAAAAGACTTAATTCATTAAATAAGAAATTCTGGAGAGTTGGCAGGGAAATTACCCAATACAAAACAGCAAAGCAGGAAAATAGTTATGATGGCAAATGTTTCCAGAACAGTTATTTTGTTATAGCCCTGCCAGTACTCCATAATTACCAATCCTGTGACCCACCCGCCTAGGAGTTAGACTCAATCACTACACACTGGGTGCACAAGTGATCAACTCCTGCAAGGCACAGATTGCACAGCAAAGTATTGAGGTCATTGATGCACACATGTGAATTGCAGGACATGATGGAAGTCTGCAAGGTGCAAGCTGTATAGCAAAACACAGTAGTTGAACATTGGTAGGCACACCTTATAGACATACACGATCCAACTGAGATAAGAGAGCTGAACTTAACAGACAGAACCCTTTCTGTTGTATCCCAAAAAAATACATTTAAACAATTACATTAGTAGTGTGAATTTAAGATTTCTGGTAGTGTGTGTTCATCCATCTCCTTTTATATAACAATAATTAGCTTTATTTGCGTGATACAAGGCGTATCTTAAAGCGCTTTGGAGTATGGGCAACCCCAAACACCGGTGTGAGATCAGGAGGTGACAATGGGTCCGGCCAGTGGAATTCAAAATGTGTCAAGAGAGTGGTAAAAAAGAGGAATACTTCCATGCGAGCAAGGTTTTCTCCAAGACAAATTCTTGGACCTGAGAAGAAAGAAAACATAATGAGCAGAATGGCACAATGGTCTGGCCATCTATAAAAATGTCTTAAAAATCTTAAATATGCTGAAAATATTTTTTTTTTAACATGCACTACAAGGTAGGCTCACATTACGGTAAATTTTAGAAACTGCTGAATTTATGCTCATTTAGCTTTTACAACGCAGAGCTAGAATTACAAGCTCATATGCTTGTTGCAATCAATTACCAACATAGCGGTAATTTTCAAAATGGCTGTTGATAAAGTTAGAGATCTGTGGCTGTTTCCATGCTACAGTATTTCAAAATACAGAACTTCAGCGGTTAGTATTTAGCTGCTGCCGTCACACATTACTGTTTCCCATACAGCAAAAAAGAAGACTAGAAACATCAGGTTTCTATGCTAGCCAGTCCATTAGCTTTCATTGGCTGAAAGCGTAAGCTGAGGAACGGCGCCTAGCAGACCCAAGGTAAAAGTCAAACTGTTTAACTTCTGAAAGTAAGGGGACAGGGGTGACAAGGTACTTCTGGCAACTTAACCACTACAGCACGCATTCGTGGATGTGGTGCTTGAAGTGTTCCTTTAAGTAATAAAGCCGGTCTGTAAGCTTGATTTTGTAGTTCTCAAGAAATACCTGTAAAATGTAACAAGTCCGGTATATGAAAACGCTAAAGGGTGTATTAACTAAACTGCAAATTCTAATGAATTGAAACATTTAGTCTAAAACTGCCAAGCTCTAAGGCAACTATTTGTGACTAAACTTTGCATTTCAGTTTTCTATTCATTAGAATTAGCTGTTTAGTTTTTCTTCGGGATAAATGCAGATAATGCCTAAAGCCAACCCTTTATTGTGTTCTAGTGGAGTTGCTATGACAACTAGAAAACACGCCTTACTGTCCAGTTATCAAAATGGTAAGCATTAACCAGCGGTTGGTATCTACAAAGGTGAGCATTAGTGGCATACGGACATTAACACCATTAAGGACCAAACGTCTGGAATAAAAGGGAATCATGACATGTCACTCATGTCATGTGTCCTTAAGGGGTTAAAATGCAGATGTTATTTGTTACTAATGAAAAGCTAGCCATTGTATTTTTATTGCAGACAAATGGGAGCACTTGTCAACACCAACTCCAATAATCAAATGAATCTAACGAAAGCAACATTGTAAAGCAAAAGTATTCAAAACTCTCAATAGTTTAAAACAAATGTTAAAGGACCACTATAGTGCCAGGAAACATAATAGTTTTCCTGGCACTATAGTGCCCTGAGGGTGCCCCCACCCTCAGGGTCCCCCTTCCTCCGGGCTCTAGGGTAAGGAAGGGGTTAAACTTACCTCTTTCTCCAGCGCCGGGCGGGGAGCTCTCCTCCTCTTCTCCTCCTCTTTGGCTGAATGCGCATGCACGGCATCTTCTCACTGTGAAAATCACAGTGAGAAGCGCGGAAGCCCTCTAGCGGCTGTCAATGAGACAGCCACTAGAGGCTGGATTAACCCGATTGCAAACATAGAAAAAAGGGTTAAACCTAGCTGGACCTGGCACCCAGACCACTTCATTAAGCTGAAGTGGCCTGGGTGCCTATAGTGGTCCTTTAAGTAATGGTCAAATGTTTGCAGTATAAATGTTAGTTTCTGTATTGTCATAGCATTGTTCTATAGTGGTACAACCCTGAATTTTAAAGCAGTGAGGTGAATGCCGGTGAGACAGAGTATTATACAAGGCACTTCAAATCTTAAAGAAAATCCTAAAAAATTTAAATTATGTGCAATCAGCTGTTAATCACTATTACCTGCTACCTTCAAAACACTCCAAAAACGAATAAAAATTAGTGTGTCGCCTCAGTGATAATTTTACCAATTTATTATACAAGTGTACAAAAATGTCACCTATTACGTTTTCTAAAAAGCATCAACACAAGTGCTAACATATTATCACCTTTAACAATATCTTAATGTTCTTGTGCATAAACAATATGTGCTACTTAAATGTGTTAAACAATTGCCACAGCAATGTATAAAATGAAAAAACACAGAAACATAATCTTCAAACATACACTGGAAGATTTTACCAACAACCAATTGTGTTTCACAAATGTGTCAAACACACTATATTTTAGTTTTTATTAGTACACTGGTGATTTAGCAATTTACCTGCAGAGAAGGGTAAGAAGGATTCTGTTTTCAGCAACTCTCCGTCATCACTAAGGAAGTTCTCTGGATTGAACTCATGTGGATATTTCCAATAAGTCTCGTCATGATGAAGTGAATACAGATCTGTTATAATAACTGTTCCCTGGTTATAAAAAAGACAAAACAGATGTCCGTTTTATGATTTATAAAAATCTCAATCACATGCTAGATTATTCGATCGCTGTCATTCTTCTGTATGCATTCTTTCTCACCTTTGGAATGGAAAAACCATTTAGTCGTTCATCGTTTCGCACTGAGTGAGCTAATCCTAAAGGCAAAACACTGGCAAAACGCTGTACCTCTTGTAAGACAGCTTGTGTGTAGGGCATTTTTACTCTGTCCCCATAATCTATCCAGTCTCTGTCTCTTCGAATTTTGTCTATTTCACTTCGACATTTCTCTGGAAAAGAAATACAGTTTTACATAGAGTAATTCTCAAACCCATAATGTCGCAAAAGAAATAAGATGTACCTTGTATTTTTGGAAAAGCCATCATATAGAGCAGAGCCCATTCCAGGCTGGCAGACGTTGTCTCAGACCCAGCCACAAACAGATCCACCACACATGCAAAGAGATTCTGATAGTCAAAGGTCTGTTTGTTGTTACCTTCTTTTCGCTCCTAATCAAAAATTAAGATTCTATCAAACTGGAAACCTTAACATGTCCAATATACAAATTCTTATGAGTAGATCTTATAGTAACATTTAATGGACTGTGCATCCATTAACAGTTCCATTGACTTAACTCACATTAATTCATTGTATTTTTTAAAGAAACACTCCAAGCACCATATGTACTACCATCAGCCTTAGTGGTTATGGTCTCAGAAGTGTCCTAGTGCCCACCCTCCCGCAATGTAAGCAGTTAAACCATTTTAGAACAGTTTGACTTCTTACTGGGATCAACTGGGCCACACTCCCCGGTGGGCCTCCACAACAGCCTTCATATGGCAGGAAGCTCTTTGTCTGAGCTAAGCCTGGCAGAAGGAGCTTCTGGTTCTTTGAAAGATTAGAGGGGCAGGAGGCAGCATCAGGTGGACCCCAGGAAAGAAATGAAACCATTCTAAAATGGATTGACTACTTAAATGGAGAGGGTGCTAGCAAGCTCCAGGCACTATAACCACTACATGGTGCTGCCATAGTTATGGTGCTTGGAGTGTTCCTGTAAGCCCTGTGTCATGTCCAGAACAGGGATCCTATTGCTAGCAACAGACAGTACCAACCACATCATACTTCACCTCGATAAATCACGCACAATACATTATTTATCAACAGTACTGTTTTTCCCAGTTCCCTGGAGAACTCTTTGTCCCTTAATAAGAGTTTAGCAATTAAAATGCTTGCAACAAGATACTGTGAAATGATATGGATACACTTATACACTTGGAGTACATACAAATCTAAACACAAGCAATTTGTGTAGCAAACTATTCAAAATGTATGAAAGACTAAGCATTATTTACGTAATGCATTGTAAAAAAATTTATTGCATCCGTAATCTTCACCTTTGTATATTATATTGTGAAATAAGTACCATAGTGACATTTTAATGGCACGCACACTGAGTCATTGAGAATCATTATCTCTATAGATTTTTTAAAAGTGACATTATTCTTCTGGCTGCCATACCTAGCTTATAATATTGCGGTAAGATTAAAACTGATTCTTTTTATGTAGACACTGATATAAAATAATACCTTAAATAAGCATAAATATAAAGCAGTTAAAAGCCACGCACTGCATAAAACCATGCACTATTTTTTCAAGTGAAAATACAATTCTAAAACATGGCGTCACCTTACGAATAACTTTGAAAAGTATTTCACATAAAGTACCTTGTCCAGTTCTTCCAAATAACAGTCTATGTAGTCCCTTGGCTCTCCGAGTACTCTAGTGCTTTTGTGCTCCTCCAAGACATTTTCGAGAAATGCAAAAATAGACTTCATATTTCCAAACAGCTTTTGGTGAGGTAGAGGTAAGTAATGGATCAACCCAAGTACATTGTACAGCTGAAAAGAGGTAAATGGAGAATGTTGAAGAACGCATATATTAAAAGATAAGGGTTAGTTCCGTATTTATACAACAGTCACACAGAGCACAGGTTTACATTAATTTGTAGAATGGAAAACCAGTATTTTGGATAATGGGACAAGTTTGTAGCTTATTGCATTTCCATTTACTAAAGTTTGTAACCATCAAAACACAAGCTGCGGAGAGTTGAAATCATATTTGAAAAATCTAGGCCAAAATGGTAGCTTTAGGAAAAAAAAGCTGAGTTAAAGATTTTTTTTGCCAAAGCCACTGTTTTGGCCTAGATTTTCAAGTGTAACTTTTTTATGTGATGCTTTGTTTTCTTTTAAATTGTTATATGATGACATCACAATCCAGTTCAGTCCTGGCATAGCCAGGGCAAATATTGCATATGAGCTGGAGAAATTGATACATACATCCTCCGGTATGCGTTCTCAATGCTGACTGCCAGATGCAGAGGACAGAGTTTATAACAATGAGTGACAGGGAGCTAAGATGGAGGCACCCAGGTTGAAGTAAGAAAATAAATGCATACCTGGTTGAAGCTGACCTTCTCATCTGCATGATGTGTGGATAAGAGGTTCACCATAAAGGAACACAGCCGAACTATAGTTGTTGTTGTGCTAGGAGTGCCTTTGTATGTAGTCAGACTGTTCTAGAACAGTTTAACTTCTTATGTCGGATCCACCAAGCTTCGCCTCCCCAGCATTCTTATTGCTCTCAGACAATGATCTAAGCTCCGTATCTCTGAGCCTAGTTCAGACATACAGCTTCCGGATTTCTGACTGATGTAGGAAGTGTTGTGCTTTAGGTAAGCATTCCAAATATTCTACATTTGACTCCTTACAATGGGGAGTGCCAGGACATGACTGGCACAATAACAACTACAGTACACTGTAGTGGTTATTGTACTTGGAGTGTTCCTGATATAGACATATGAACTAAAATTGATATTAGAAGCATATACTGCTAAACAATTGAGGGTTTTCTTAAGCCAGGATTTGAGGAGAATTGACAAGGAAATGTCAGAGAGCCTACACTTTGCAACTTTTGACATAATTCACCATTTAGTGGAAATTTTAAATAGCTTCAAATATGTACTCTGTACCAATGACATATTCATCATAGACACATTTTTTATGACCACCATTTCAATATTTTGTGGCCCTGACTCTTGACCCCCTTATAAATGATTATACATAAATTTGCATACATTTGCCCAAAAACCAGTTGTCCTCTTCATATGCTTATGGACCAGTTGAAGAATATTTGAGAAGGTGGTGTCATTATATTCATAGCGTCTTCCGAACACAATGGTACAAATGATGTTGGACACAGCATTGTTAACTACACTGTGTGGGTCATATAGGATATCTGAAAAATAAAAACCATTGATATCAAATGATACATAACAAGTTATCTCTAAATCCAGAACCCCAATAAAAGTAACAGTTCACATATTTTACCTTCGGTGTAAATACATTAATCAAGATGGCTAGGTGGTAGTGTTTTTAATGGTGTGTGATAACTCATGTTTTTAAAGTGAAACTGTAGGAACTACACCCACTTCATCTCACTGTATTGGTCATAGTACCAGGAGTCATTTTGCACTGTCCCTCCATTCAGAATTAAACCATTGTCAAGCAGTTTAACACTGAATGAGGATCCATGGCCACCCACAGTCCAGCTCCCACTACAGGTAGAGCTAAGGCTTCCTTCTAGCCATACCAATGCATACCAATTCTGACACTTTTGGCCATTCACCACTGCCCACTGCTGCTCAGGCTAGTGCTTCCTTATAAGCCCAAGCAAGTGCGCGGGGCTGATAAGGACCCACATTCAACATTAAAATATTACTAGGTTTCCAGTAAAGCCACATTAATATGAACAAACTAAACTATAACAAAGAAACAAACTTTAACTACAACTCTAGTGTTTCTCAACAAGAATCTGTGAACTGCATTTTGAGCCCTTTTGCCCACTCATCCAACCAAATATACATCAAGTCTTGATCAAAATAAAGTTATTTTCCAAGTTTTGAAGAAGATTCCTTACCTTTGTTCTTTTTGAATTCCTGGAGTAAATACACACTCTCCTCTGCAACTCTGTCATCCATAGAACTTTTGCCCTGTCCAAAATCTCGTAGTGTGGACAGAGTGAAACGTCTGTGTTCCTTCCATGCTCGGCCATAAGGAGCAACCACCAAACCTGGAGAAAGAAAAGTAAATATGATGGAGATTGGGCTGTAAGATCCAAACAATTCCATCTAAAGTTTCTCACATAAGTCTCACATTAAGTTGTCAAAGTCCACCCACTGTACTCTTACTTTATTCCGAAAAAGAGACCACAGCGATAGATACAGTGCAATGCAGTGTTTTTATGTTTTTTTTTAAAATCTTACTAATTTTATTTGTTTGGTAAAACAATTATTCTATGTTTTCCATCTCTACTTACCTTACACGTTCAATGGTATCTGGGAGAAATTAAACAGCTGCTCTCTGAAAGCAATAATTGAAGAAATAAAAGACTTTGTTTCATCATCCAGAGATTTCCCTTATGAGTGGTGCTATCTAGGCATATATATATCAATATTCAGTAACAAGTCTTGTTCTTCAGTGTTATTTTGTGCATTAGGTATCATCGTAATTTTATAAAATTTGTATAAATTGCATCCAGATACTTTCTTAATGAGCAGTACTATCTAGGCACATACACAATAATATATTATAATATCTAATTATGTCTGTTATGTGTCTACGTTGCTATTATTGCAGATGACCAGTTTGGGCTGCTCAGACCTATTTTGCCCCTGCAATATTATGGCTGTGTTTGTGTTAGGTATAGTTTACAAATCTAGTCTTATTCACTCACTATTGTCACTATATTTGAACATCTAAGATTATGGTTATTGCAGTATTTCAACTTTAAAGGACCACTATAGTGCCAGGAAAACATACTCGTTTTCCTGGCACTATAGTGCCCTGAGGGTGCCCCCACCCTCAGGGACCCCCTCCCGCCCGGCTCTGGAAGGGAGAAAGGGGTAAAAACTTACCTTTTTCCAGCGCTGGGCGGGGAGCTCTCCTCCTCCGATCCTCCTTCTCTCCTCCCCGTCGGCTGAATGCACACGCGCGGCAAGAGCTGCGCGCGCATTCAGCTGGTCACATAGGAAAGCATTCATAATGCTTTCCTATGGACGCTGGCGTGCTCTCACTGTGAAAATCACAGTGAGAAGCACGCAAGCGCCTCTAGTGGCTGCCAATGAGACAGCCACTAGAGGCTTTGGGGGAAGGCTTAACCCATTAATAAACATAGCAGTTTCTCTGAAACTGCTATGTTTATAAAAAAAAATGGGTTAACCCTAGAAGGACCTGGCACCCAGACCACTTCATTAAGCTGAAGTGGTCTGGGTGCCTAGAGTGGTCCTTTAAGGTAAAACAGCCTTCCTTATTATTAAGTATTATATTATATTAAACGTCTATGTGTGTTAACATCTTGAGACTGTTCCTATTAAACACTGCTGTCCAGCACACTAGGGAGAGCATTGCAGGAGAAAGACACAATGACGCAACAATGAGTATTTACAGATATTTAGTGATTTCTCTGTAAGTGGATACTAGGAGGCTTACGTGTGTGCTCCTTAATGAAGCTGTCTGTTAAAGGGATACTCTGGACTACTAAAGTACCATATTTTTCCGTGTATAAGATGACTCCTTTTTTGGGAGTCCAAAATTAATAAATAAATATTTTAAGCATCTTGGGTTAGGCCCAGCGCACAAGTGTTTTGTTCTTTTTTTAACCCCATTCCATGTATAAGATGACCCCTTTTTTAGACAAAAAAAAAAAAATTAGAAGAAAAACATAAAACTGAAGTGGCAGCAATTGCTCAGAGCACCTGCCATGCAAAGACTTCTGATTGAGCTCCATTGGGAATTCTGTGATTGGACAGCTACAGAAAGTTTGAGTGGGATTAGAATTGTAAAGGCTGCAGACAAGAGATCTGCAGCTTTTGCAAACTGTTTTTAGAAATACCCCCAATGAAAAAAATATATCTTCTAAACAGTGATATATATTTTTTTAATTTTATTATTTGGGCAGTGGAGTATCCCTTTAAAAGGTGGTTGATTGAAAATATTGGTATGAGGCAGTTACACATAAGCAATGTTAATATAAAGACTCCTCCTAGTAGGGTATCTGTTAGCATGTTAAAGGAATATGTCACTGATGTATTTAAAAAAAAAAAAAAAAAAAAAGGTTTAGTAGAACCCCCTAAAGACATCATGCTTGGTATTTTTTACATAGGGGTTTGTAAAAAAAAAAACAGCTGTAATACAGCTCAATTAGAAGGGGGAAAAGCAGGTGCACTCTAGCTTAACACATCCACTTCTTCCGTTAACTCTGCAGAGCTAACAGAAGCGACTTTAACATCTCTGGCTGTCTGAAATCTGCACTTTTAGAAATTGTCACAAATATTCAAGCTGACATGCTTTATGTGTGTGAGGTGTTCCCTTAAGTCCATGCTTAGCAATATTCCATTGATAGACCTGTTGTTTGCTTGCTCTGTTTATTCATGTGAAACACCGCAAATAGAATGTAGGTGAGTATGTTTTAAAGATAAGATAAGAAACACAGCTCTTTCACAAACGGACATTACCTTTTTCACCGGAGGCTTTCCGTATTACCCTGTTCTGAGGTCTATCTGCATACTCATGACCTTTCACAACCAGGACTTCTTTGATAGCTTTAATTCCACTAACCACGACAGCCAATGTTGAACCAAGGTATATACTGTATACAGGGCCATACACCTTAGATAACTGAAGAAAAAAAAAGATAGACACTTGGGTTACAGACTAAATAAATAGGATTTATACTCATCAAAATGGAAAAAGTATAATTGTATAGGTGTCCACATACTTTTTGCCATGTCAATAAATGGCAACCGTTATGTGGACACCTGACCATTACACTTATATGAATGTGATTTTTGGACATCTCATTTTAAAATCATGAGCAACTTTTTGCTTCTACAACATCTATACATCTTCTGAGTGTAGCTGGATTAACCATAAGGCAACCTAAGGTAGCTGCCTATGACCCAGGAGATAGATAGAGCACCCAGATCCAAAAATTAGCCTGGCCCCATTAACCAACCCTATATGGAGATTGAATTGAGGGAAAACTGGTAACTTACAGAATCTTAATCCTTCTCTGATTCCGGGAAGGCTTTCCACAGGATTTTGGATTGTGTCTATGGAAATTTGTGCTCATTAAGCCAAAAGTGCATTTGTGAGGTCAGGTACTTATGCTAGAGGAGAAACCCTAAGCCTACCTCTCCTTCAACAAACTTTACAGTACACAGTATGCATTCCAGAATTCATCTGGTATCCATCACACCCATATTCTTCCATCAGGCTGCCAGACAGTGAAACATGATTCATCACTCCAAAGAACGTTTTCCCGAATTAGAGTCTAATGGTGGCATTCTTGATGCCACTCCAGATGACACGTAGCATTGCACATGTGAGGCTTGTGTACAGTTGCTCAGCCATGGAAACCCATTTTACAAAGCTCCCTTAGCTCTTGTGCTGATGTTGTTTTCAGAGTCAGTTGGGAACTCTTTAGTGAATGATGCAACAGATGTTAAGAGATTGTTATGCCATATGCTTTTTAGGACTTTGAGAGTATACGTGGTATGCCACTTTGTGGCTGGACTGTTCTTGGTCCTCAATCAATGGTTTGCAACCTTTGTTCCACAAACCTTATAAGGCCCACCCTCTGGCCCGCAAAGGCTTATGATAAAATTATTGGCATCAGGCCCAAGCAGAGCTGGCGCGAGCCTAAGGAGGCCCAGGAGGTTGCCTTAGAGTATCCCAGGAATGAGACTATAAAAATGAAGATAGTAGTAGTTGATTGCTCCCTAATTTGGAATCCTTATTTGCTATCCTTATTTAGCTACATTTACACACATGACATCCGACCTTCTGCAAAAAGTATGCCGACCCTAGATACTTCCACTTCACAGTAACTTCAAAGCAACTTGTGACAAAGATGGCATCCTATGACAGTACCAAGTTTCAAGTCACTGATCTCTAGAGGATGGCCTATTGTACTGCCAGTGTTTGTCTTTGGAGATTTCATTGCTATGTGCTAGATTTCATGTACCTGTTAGCAATGGCTGAAACACCTGAAATTGAATAATTATTAATAGTGCCTATATACATTTGGCCATATAGTGTATTGATGTGTGTCTATGTATGTGTGCTAAAGTGTGCATTATGTCTGGTAGCCAGGCAGGGAATGCTAGCAGAATGCTTGGTTGTATAGGGAGAGGTATTAGCAGTAGAAAGAGGGAAGTGTCATTGTGCAGAACACTGGTGAGACCTCACTTGGAGTATTGTACACAGTACTGGAGACCGTATCTTCAGAAGGATATTGATACCTTAGAGAGGGTTCAGAGAAGGGCTACTAAACTGGTTCATGGATTGCGGGATAAAACTTACCAGGAAAGGTTAAAGGATCTTAACATGTATAGCTTGGAGGAAAGACGAGACAGGGGGGATATGATAGAAACATTTAAATATATAAAGGGAATCAACACAGTAAAGGAGGAGACTATATTTAAAAGAAGAAAAACTACCACAACAAGAGGACATAGTCTTAAATTAGAGGGACAAAGGTTTAAAAATAATATCAGGAAGTATTACTTTACTGAGAGGGTAGTGGATGCATGGAATAGCCTTCCAGCTGAAGTGGTAGATGTTAACACAGTAAAGGAGTTTAAGCATGCATGGGATAGACATAAGGCTATCCTAACTATAAGATAAGGCTAGGAACTAATGAAAGTATTTAGAAAATTGGGCAGAATAGATGGGCCAAATGGTTCTTATCTGTCTTCACATTCTATGTTTCTAGCCCATTGGTAGATATTGCTAATCCTGGCATGCACTGAGACATCAGAATACTGCAATGTCTGTGGATGCCAATCAAAGTGCCACTTTTGGGACCTTTGCAGAACCCCAAAGCCACAGCCATCACAACCCTGAGATGAATCAGCCTTCATCTAATGTGACATCACAAAGGGGGCCTGACTGATCCAGGGTCCCTTAATGCAGCCAGAGACTGCATGGTATGTCTGCCATCTGAGGGTACAGATAATGGTGAGAGCCCCTCACAATCCACAATTCCAAAGTGAATGAGAGCTCTGCTATTGACATTCCAAGCCAGCGCTCTGATTCATGCCATGGGAACATCTACTAAAGTACAGCCTGGCATGCAATAAATTACCATCTATTCTATAACGCCATGCACACTGGCCCATCAGAAAACACAGGAAAAAATTTACTGTAACTCAGAAGGCATGCCTGTGTATATGGGTTGTGAGAACACAAATGTACTACGGGGTGTGCTGATTGTACTGCAAACCCCAACAAAAGCATCACTATCAGAAAAAGTTCCTCTTAAAGCCATGAGACTGGGATATCATATAGGGTACATCCATTTCCACTAGTGTGCATGATGATGTATATAGCAATGCACCTGCCAAAAAAAGGGTTAAACATGTTAAATATTATTATTCTAGGGGGGCTGGGCGGGGCTTGAGTAGCAGGGCAGCTAGCCGCATTTTACTTGTGCTCCAAGCCTGTACTTCTCCTTGAGTCTTCTAATCGACTAAAATCACCCCCAAACGTTCTTCTGCCGTGACTTACCTAATCCTGAAACTGACCAGGGCCCTTTGGTGTATTTCCGTGGATGGAATCACTATAATCCCCGGAGGCGTGGGTGAGGCCTGGTGTTCACATTGGTCTGGCGAGGTGGCTGATCGCTAGAACCGGGTTATGCTGAGTCCCTTCAGCCTCCCCCCCCCTGGACTGGTGTGGCTTACCCCGGTCCCCACTGGTACACCCTACTTACAAGCATGCTCCTACTGTGCTTCTACTGAGCATTCACTCACTTTTACACTGAGCGCCTCAGGTACTCAAGATGGTAACCGCCTCCACGATGGGCAACACACACCTGACACAGTATGGGAAGCTAGCCTCGGATTTGGTTGAAAGGCGAATGTAGGCTATATTTGACCGGTTCTGGGCCACCCTAAAGGCAAGACAAACAGGTATGGTGCGCCAATCTCAGCAGAGTGAGATGCAGGGCAATCCAGAGCCTCACTCACAGACACCTGTGGGCAGGAAACTGACTACATGTGGCAGGAACACAACACCTGGCACTTCTGTCTCTCCCTAGCGGAGGAGGGCTTAGACTCTTTGAACCCCCAAGTCAGTGGACTGTGGATGCTGGCCTCTCTTCCGGCCTGGGGCAGGATGTATGGTCCCCTTTACCCTCCTTCCAACATACCCTCACATCATCTTAGTGCAACCCCTCTGAGTCCACCAAACGAGGGCATTGGCTGAATAGGAACCCCCAAGTAATGATCTGAAACTCTCTTATACCTGGTGGAGGATCACAGGCTGTCCATTGCTTACATTATGAGTTAGCTTTGGTTTTGATTTCTTTTTGCCTTTGCAGCTGACACTATTTCATAGCAGTACCAACATGACCCAGTTGTTCTCGACATCAGCTGTACTCAAGCCTATATGTTTTTATCACTTCATATTTTCTGCTGTGACATGCAAGCTTCAAATTACCATTGTTTATTACTTTATTATAAAAACGCGCAGTGTACTCAATGACACACTATTGTTTTACTCTGTCTAATGCTTTAGGTGCTGTGGCAATGAAAACTTACTTGATTAACCTATGCACAAACAAAATACATAATTTTAAAAATATATATTATTCTGCATTTATTCTAGACATAAACTTATAATCTCATGCATTTTCTGCTCAGATTCACAACCAACACTCACCTCTGTCATATCCTTGAGTGGATTAGAAAAGTCAACCTGCAGGATGTTCCCAAACAATGGAAGAGAAAGGGGACCCGGGGGAAATGCCTTTGGTCGAGAGACCTTCCACCAGAAAAAGCCAAGTAGGACTACAGCAAGGGACAGAACCATACAAAGCTCCATGATAGCTGAAAGCTGTGCTTATCAATCACTGATTATTGAACAAAGTTTCACAGTATTTATACAACACAAAGTCCAACACACCCAGCTCCCTTCCCACCCAGGACATGTTAGATTTAAAATAATACATTAGGCTGATCGCAAATTCTCTCAGCCCTTTGAGTAGTATTTCTGTCTTCATTCTTTGGTCCACTACCAGCCCTCCACTATTAGCCCTGGAGTGTGAGATTTCTGTACAGTATCTTAGCTGGTCCCACCTGGAATCTGCTAAAGCCACTCTCCCAGCTTGGGGATCACAGCCTTGAGTCCTGTTTATCCTTGTATGTACGTAGTGGGGAATCGCGATGCAGCCTAGAACAAAAACTAACCCCATTCAACCCCCCAATAACGACAGACCACTTAGTATGGATGAAACAGGGCACAGCATTTATTATCACAAACTAAATTACTGCATAACACATCCATAACTTTATTTATTAAATCTCCTCTTTTTCTGTAACCAAAAACGTTAGACATAAATAAGCATAAATTAACATATATACATATATATAACTCCACACATAGTGTTATACAGTGACCCAACCGTCCTTGCCAATAAACATACAGTAGTTCCTAATCACCACTTCCTCTCACCTCCCCCTCGTCATAAAAATCATATCCTTCCAATGCCCGACATCAGCCGACCTTATCCACGCTTGATGGGCACGACACCTCAGGCAACCTAATGTTAACCGTTTAGAGCAGGGGAGGTTGAGACCTTAAAAACTTGTTCATCTCATTCCATATACTTAAACGTAACCCCTCAAACTCAGTTGGCAAGGACATACCCCCGGCTAGCTGTGACTAAATATACTAATAGGGCGGGCGGGAGGGAAGCTGTTTGCTGGCCCGAATCCCAAGTTAAGACCTCCCCCACACTAACTTACACAGAACATAATCCCACCCACACACACTTTCCCAACCAATCCCATGCATCTATCCCCACACTACTACATGTGCCCTTGTCCGCGTAGCTGCACTATCTCCCCAGGGCCTGTAAACTTCCTAATACTCACACAGTCAGGGTTATTCACGAAAGTGAGACAATTCAAAGTAAATTCAAAGTGAATTTCAAATTCATGGTTAAAATAACTGAGCTGGAAACATTATTTAAGGCAGCTATGCTTTCAGTTCAGGTACTCTGGCTGGCCTCAAATTTGGAATTCACTTTCAAATCTCACTTTAGTAAATAACTCTGAGAATCATCTACAGTGTGTAAGGGTGTATCGTAGAGATCCACAGCAATAAAACTCACAGTAATCTGCATGTATATGAGTGTATCACAAATAGAAATCCATGGTAATGTGCAATGTGTATTACAGAACTCCATGAAATGCAACACAGATGAGCAGGGCCAGCTCAAGACATTGTGCTACTTGAATCCAAAGGTGAAATGCTCCTCCCCTCACCAAAACCTATACCACACCCACCAAAACACACTCACATCCATTATGTTATGCAGTGTGTGTAGTGAATGCATTGTGTGTTCAGTGGATGCAGTGTGTTTAGTGTATGCAGTGTGTATAGGGAATGCAGTGTCTGTGTAGTGAATGTAGTGTGTGTGTGTGTGTAGTGCATGTAGTCTGTATGTTGTGCATGTAGTGTGTGTATTGTATGCAGTGTGTGTGTGGTGAATGCATTGTGTGTGTATGTAGTGGATGCAATATGTGTGTAGTGCATGCAATGTGTGTGTAGTGGATGTAGTGTGTTTAGTGCATGTAGTTTGTATATTGTATGCAGGTTATGTAGTGAATACATTGTATGTGTATAGTGGATGCAGTTTGTATGTAGTGCATATAGTGCATGTAGTCTGTTGTATGTAGTGAGTGCATTGCGTGTATATACTGGATGTGGATTGTGTGTTTTGCATATAGTATGTGTATAATGCATGTAGTGTGTGTAGTGCATGTAGTGGATATAGTATGTGTAGTGCATGCAGTATGTGTAGTGCATGTAGTGTGTGTATAGTGGATGTAGTATGTGTAGTGCATGTAGTGTGTGTATAGCGGATGTAGCGCATGTAATGTGTGTGTAGTGCATGCAGTGTATGCATAGTTTATGTAGTGTTTGTGTAGTGCCTACAATGTGTGTATAGTCAATGTAAGGTATGTGTAATGCATACAGTGTGTGTAGTGCATGTCATATATGTGTAGTGCATGTAGTGTGTATGTAGTGCATGTAATGTGTGTGGGTAGTGTATGTCATGTGTGTGTAGTGCATGTCATATATGTGTAGTGCATGTAATGTGTGTGGGTAGTGCATGTCATGTGTGTGTAGTGCATGGTAGTGTGTATGTAGTGTGTGTGTGTAGTGCATGTAGTGTGTTTTTTATGTGGGGGTGAGCAGGTTTTTTTTTTCATTTTTAGTTAGGTTTATCCCCCTCTCCCTACCTCTTACCTGTGGGAGAGGGGTGTAACGGATCACCTGGCACCCCGACTGGGTAGCTCCGTTGAAGCATATGAATGCTGTAAGCAGCTGAACAGGAAAAGCATACAATCAGCTTACACTCCTGGCAATCAGCATACAATCCAATTCCCCCAATATTGAGATGACACTTCGTTTTGAGGTCAAGCAGAACTGACTGTACTGGCACCTACAGCCTCTTTTATTCACAATCCACAAACATGGTACTGCCCACAGGGTTTTGAAATACAACCAATCAATCCGTACAATACACACAGACACTCCCACACAAAATCCTCCCCTCTGCCTGTAATATGATTACTGAACACAATGGGTAATATAATTATCACAGGCAGAGAAATACAGTATTATAAAACATATCACAGGGACCCCAAAACATGCAATAACCCCATAAAATTTTGGATATGTAGTTCACCCAGATCCTTTCAGTAGTTTGGAAGATCCAGTTTAATGCAGATTCTGCAGAACATATACAAGCTATATGAAAAATAATTACTGTATAATGTGTTCCCTGTTGTATAGTTTAAAACTACTGCACAATGTCTTGGTGCACCAAATACCGGCGAGATGGCACCGTGTAGAAAAGTCCAAACAGTGTCTGTGAGTTAAAATGGCCGCCATCCATTGTTCTCACCATGTGCTTCATCCATTGTTCTCACCATGTGCCTCCGATACATGAAATGGTGGCCACCCAGTAACTCCACAGTATGTCCCCAGATGGTTCTTAAAGGGCCAGCAGCAGCACAACACAAATCCATTATGCCCAAATCATGTCTTTAAAGGGCAATACGCACCAGGGGCCATAGTCACAGGGCAGGAGGCTGGCAATCAGTCTTCTCCATGCCCAGTGGCGAGGTTGGTTTCTCCACAAGGGGATACTTGATCCAGTGGCTCAGTAAAGCTGGAAGATAGTGAAGAAGGGGCCCAGAACTCTAATCTCCACTCCAGCAGCAGGTACTGTTCTCTCCTCCCATGAGTGCATTGCCATTGTAACCCTCGGCAACGCTCTCACGGCTGATGGAGGAACGGACAGCACCTACTGCTGCTGGTAGTTTTTTTTTTTAAATACCTGACAAACAAGCAAGAAAATTAATTATGTGAATTACTGTGAGAATCAGTAAAAACTACCGAGCATTAAGAAAGTATTCAGACCCTGAACAGGAATATAGTGCCTTGTCCCTGATTTTGGATCCAGACCTGAGCCTGCATGTGAGTCCATTCTCCATGCCACCCGGTACCAACTACCGCAGCCTGCCACCAGGTACCAACTACCGCAGCAGCCTCAGTGATATGGCCCGACCATCAACCAGATACTGGACAGAGTAATGATAAAGACAGGCTCAGAAAGCTCTTTCTGCCTTGTACTGAAATACTAGACAAAACAATAATGGTTTATTGAACATCAGGCAGTATATTTATACAGTACAAGTTATTGCATAAAGAGATGACAAAACTGTGAAAGAGTGAGGGGACCTTGTGGGAGACTACTGTGTGGCTACTGCACACTGAGTGGGAAGCAGGAAGGAGTCCCTGCTTCCCCAACTAGTAGACATGCATATCATAATATAAACCAAGTCACAAAATGTTTTGTCTGCATAGAAGGTTTTTCAAGAGCACATCATTTTTAAATGGAATAAGTTTGGGACAACCAGCACTTTTCTTAAGCTGGCCACCTTGCCAAACTGATCAGCCGGAAGAGAAGTGCATTGGTAAGGGAGTTACTGATTTTGGGGGTGCTTTCCAGCAGCAGGGACTAGGAGACTGGTTGGGATTTAGGGAGCGCTAAATGCTGCAAAATACAGAGATTTCCTTAATGAAAACCTGGTACAGAGTTTTCAGGTCCTAAGCCTGGGCCAAATGTTCATCTTGCAACAGGACACTGACCGTAAGCACAAGACTTGAGTAGTGCAGAATTTTGGGCATATGCTGGTTCTGCCCATCCGTAAAAAGGTTCGGGGAAAAAAAATCAGACAAACCAAAAGGATGTGCAGCTGGCCCAATAAGTTTACTGTGATATATATATATATATATAATATCTCCTGCCATTTGGTTCACAGATCAAGTGAGAAAGAGTAAGCAATAGAGGGGAAAAGAGGAGGCTCAGTAAAAAATAAATAAATCTATATTTAAATAATATATAAATATAGAATATTTTGTTACCGCTCCTCCTCTTTTGCCTCTATTGGTAACTTCTCACTTAATTTGTCAATAAAATCTAAATTTTGTGACTGTCCCCTATCCATTAGTCATCTTTTTTCTCATCAATCATCTCTTTTTTAGTTGGGATTTGGAATCACATACCAAAATGAACATGCTTACCGATTGCGCCAGTCATTTGGTTTGTGATTTGCCTACATTGTGACTTGGAGTCCAGGTATTTGGACAATCACCCAATTGGCCCAAATCCAGCCAAATTGTATTCGTAACCAAACAAATCTCCAAGTCTACTAAGCACACAGCCAAGACAAAGCAAGAGTGGATTGGGGACAACCTTGTGAATGTCTTTGAGTGGCCCAGTCAGAGCGTGGATTTGAACCCTGGTCAAACATCTCTGGAGATACCTGAAAATGG